ATATATATATATATATGTATACTCACACACACACACACACACACATTTCCCTGTTTTAACACACCTTATATACTTGTACAAGTCATTACTTTGTATATTTTATATTCAGTTTAACTACAGTACAGGAAATCAGAAAGTGATTTATCATTGTTTGATGATGTAAAATTAACTACCTTTTTTATTAAGATTAAGAAAATTATGTGATTGAAATTATATTTCACAATTTTTTACTGTTTTTTAATTCAAAATGTCAACAAAATGATTCAGAATTTCATTGCATAATATCATTTTATAAGAGATGAACCATGTATAGTTTGAAGTAGCATAATTTCCTTTAATGTTATATAGAGCATCTTTTAATGTGTAAGTTATGTATTTTTAACATACTTTTCAATTCTCTCTTTCACAGTTAACACTTTCTGATATCAGCTCAGTTTAAATTCAGTACCAGATTTAATTTCTTAACCATCATATAATTAGTTTTAGTTGTTAGTACCTATTAAAATAAATGGAATAAAGGCATTATGTACCTGTTAATTTGAAGCATTTGTCTTGTTTCTTAAAACCATGTTTTTTTACACATTTCAGTCTCAACTATGTTTTTTTTATTTGCTCTTAACATTAACCATTAAGTATAATTAATAAACTAGGTATTTTAAAATAAGATATTCACATTCAAGAGATCAGCTGGGTAAATTTATTTAAAGTTAAAAGTATTTTGTGTTTGTGTGTTACATTTTAAAGTAATACCAAAATATAACAAAAAAATATTACTGCTAAAGCAGTCCATCACCTTAGAATCACATTTCTATACTAGTTTAGTACAATATTTTTCTCTGAAAAATAAATGGTAAGAAAACTGTGTTCACTCTAGTTTTGTCCCCACTTATCTGCTACTTATTCTGAAGAATAGGATCCTTTATCTACACATTTTGCTAACTAAGTCACAAGACATTATAATCTATAATAAACATTATAAAAACTGTGTTCACTCTAGTTTTGTCCCCACTTATCTGCTACTTATTCTGAAGAATAGGATCCTTCATCTACACACTTTCGCTAACTAAGTCACGAGACATTATAATCCATAATAAACATGTTATTACATCACAGTTAAGCTCTTTCATTAAAATCATTTCATTATTTCTTTACATCAACATTTACACTGCATGATGTAGTGTAGAAGGTACTATGTGTGATTTTTGCACTAAAAGAAGTAACAATAATTTTAATCACATCCTTATTTATGGGCTCCATACCTGCCATATTTTAAGGAATCATGCTTGGGCAGATTTAAGAATTATAAGTACAGTAGATTGTAACGTCCAAAGATTCGAACCATGATTTGCTTTTGTAGATGTAACGTGGGATGGCTATACCTGAACGTTAGGGTTCTGTGATCTGTCTGTTTAGCCCATGTGTCATGTAAGACGATGTTCAGGTTGAAAATACCTATACCAGTCCACAATATGGTAAATGACCAGAATTTCACAGGTAAAAAAGATCAAGATTTTTATTTAGATAAAATAGAGAAGGAAAGGAAAACATTTCCACTAAACCCTAACTTTCAGACAATGCAAACAAGAAAAACTATACACATTGCTAAAATTCTTTTGTATTATGTCCTTCAGTTGTTTTTAAACAAAACTTTTAAATAGATCTATAAACGTTTTAAAACAGTTTTGTTTCTAAATATTTTGGCCAAAACTACAAGAAAATTTATGTATAGACACCCAAACTTTGAACCGATAGACTAGAGGGTTTAATTGTATTGAATATTCACACAAATCTATGAAAGAGCTGTCTTTGCTAGCCGTCCCTAATTTTGAACTGATAGAGAAGAAGGATTTGCTGGTTTGTTGTTAAGCACAAAGCTACACAATGGGCTATCTGTATTGTGCCTACCATGACTATTGAAACTCGATTTTTTAGAATTATAAGCCTCTGGACTCACTATTTATCCACCGGGTGGCCGACTAGAAGGAAGATAGCTAATCAACAACACCCACCGCCAACTGTAAATGGATAGTAGTATTTTGATCTCACTTGTGTACACACAACATCAAAATGCGGAGAAAGATTTTGCAGTATCCCAACGTGAACTGTAGAGCCTCCGATTCATAGCCAGACACATTAACATTAGATCACATCTTATCCTTCTTAGAGGGAAGGCAGCTACTCTAGTCTGACCAAAGGATTTGACTGTCATTCTTATGTTGCGCACGCAGTCCCAAAGTGCAAACAGGTTTGTGTGGCAACAGGCTGCGAACCATGAACCTTTAGATTCATACTCCACATGATACTTGAAGCTTTTGTTCGATTGTATCTCATTTGTAAAAAGGTATGGTTCCTTTTTGAAAATTGATCATTTAAATTGAAATACGGTGATCGTGTTCCCTGATAACCAAACTAACTCGTTCAAATTAACATAGTGGGATCATGTTGGATAAACAATTCAACAACAGCGTTCAGTTCATTGGATGTTATTCGTCTTTCTCAAGCAATCAAAGGGCTCAATTCGTATCACGAGAATGGTTAGCCGCACCATCTGAATCACCTCCAGCAGCTTGTCGCAACAGCACAAGCGGTTTAAGTGGTTTTCTTTATATTTTTTCAACCATCCATAAAGAAATAGGCGAAAAGCAGCGTATGAAACCCAACCACTTTGTTTCAGTTATTCATTGCCCATAGCGTATCAAACCCAACCACTTTGTTTCATTTATTCATTGCCCATAGCGTATCAAACCCAACCACTTTGTTACAGTTATTCATTGCCCATAGCGTATCAAACCCAACCACTTTGTTTCAGTTATTCATTGCCCATAGCGTATCAATCCCAACCACTTTGTTTCAGTTATTCATTGTCCATAGCGTATCAAACCCAACCACTTTGTTACAGTTATTCATTGCCCAAACAAAGTGGTTGGGTTTGATACGCTATCAGTTATTCATTGCCCATAGCGTAAACAAAGTGGTTGGGTTTGATCATTTATTCATTGTCCATAGCGACGCCATGGACAATGAATAACTGAAACAAAGTGGTTGGGTTTGATAAAACAAAGTGGTTGGGTTTGATGGACAATGAATAACTGAAACAAAGTGGTTGGGTTTGATACGCTATCGTTATTTATTGTCCATAGCGTGTACTGTAAGCAATATCGAAGCCGTTCTGTCTTTTTGCATCTGAGATAGGTAAAGTTTTAACTGGTTGCTCATTACCATATGACATTTTTTATAAAGTTATTCACATGGTATGGTTAGAAATAGTCGAAATCCAATTAGTGTTGAAGGAATATTGAAATTAGGATACATTTGTTTGTCTGTAGCACGTTACAAGCCAGTCTTTCGTATTTTCTCTTTGTTGGTCAACAGTTAATCAATGAAGCGGTCTTTTATAGAAACATTTTTTGTAGATAGGCACTCACTATCAGAGTTTCAAAGATGCCCTGGTTCATTATGTTGCAGACTAACCATAGTATGACCACATCTCTTCCGTAAGAGAGCTCAAGCAATCAGCTGACATATCTCTTAATGAAATAATTGGAGTAAGGAGGGGAAGCTAATAATGTTACTAATCAATATGCAAACGTAAGTTAGGCTACGCCATCATGCATAGAATTGCAGTCAGTCTTTTCTCCAACACTAACAGCACCCATTTCTTCAAACATGATAAACTGTAATATGTAGCAGCTTTTCCGCATTTCTCGTGCGTTTTGAAGATGTTTATCTTACAAATAATATTCTATTGAAAATTTAAACATGAACGTACTGACATATCTCATTCTACAGCTATAAACCAGTGAGTAATTATTTGACATTTCAGTATATTCATTCTAATGTTCATTTGTATATACGTTATTCAAAGCATCATATATGCTTTTTCATATGCATATATTAACGTATTTTGAATATATTTTATTTATGGTCTGTAGTTTAAAACGTAGTAATAAAAGTGTTTAACAAAAATTACG